CCCAAAGTCTATGTATAACTACCGCCATTTTGCTATCAACCTTTTCAGCGTCTATTTCCATCCACTACAACAAGTTTTTCCAGTGGAATTAATCTATATCACCTTGAAACGTAATACGGTGATCTGGAATGCATTGATATCAATCCGCGGCTATATAACCAAGGTATGTGTAAATATTTGGACACTCACCTTGGTAATATAGCCGTGGATATGTTACTGATACTCCAGATCGTATACACGGGTCTTTTGTGGTTAGCAAAGCCAAAAACTGAAGAACCGTCGGATGAATAGACGGTCATTTTACTAAAAGACAAACTATGCAAATGGACTAACAACATCGGCTGGTTATGACGCAAACTTTGAACATTGCGCGCTTTTGTTCCTAACAGTGGAACCTGTCTGTATGATGGGAGATGCAAATCCATGCCCGTCTTATGAATTGCAGCAAGTTTTAATAAGATTATGCACAATGATGACTTGATATGTGAATTATTTAATACTAAATACTATTTTGTAAACTTTCAAGAATTATCAATTTGACGATGCTTGTAAAGTTGTATCTGTCATGTTAAGTCCATTATATGAGGGTAATATTTATTATTATCCAAACTTTAGCACTGTATACGCTGAAAAGTGGTATTTTCTTGTTCGTTTCATAAGTAGCACGGTCTTCTGACTTTTTTTAATAGAGTTTAATGACATACCCTTCGTACCATTCAGGACTCGTAAAATCTTGTAGATTTTTTGACTTATATCAATGTGATGATGCCTGTAAACTGGCTTCTCTTATATTAATTTACTAATGTGAGGATAAAATATTTATTATTTATTTATTCTAATGTCTTCATGGCTTGGTTCACGTTAGAGTACGTGAATTCGACGGTTCCTGTAGTCGATGAAAGAGCAGAAGTGTTTTCCATGATGCAGATCACACGAAACGGTTGTAGTCTGAAGACGACCAACTTCACATGTGTCGATGAATATATCAAGCATATCTGTCGGATTATTGTAAGCCTTTCTGTTGTAAATAAGGAGAACATTGTGTCTTATACTGTTTGATCGCTTCTTCAGGATCCTGGAGAGGGCATATTCTCTATATGAGCTAGCTAGCGCATTACTTTTTACAATCTTCATTAACATATTAGGCTACTGCAAAGTACAGTTCAAAACAATAAAAACCACACGAAGTCATGATTTCGGTAGTATTTCGTTGAAAGTTTACATAGCTCCCTGTGAAAACTAGGAGATATAAGTGGTGGTTTTTTGAAACATATTAGTGAGACACTTACTGAGACAGGTGTTGGGGCAGTAGCAAAACATACCTAGTGCTATGTCGAGGTCAGCAGTCGTGAAGCGTGTACACTAATCAGTATACCTAATCGGTGAATACATGAGCTCCAAGTCTGCCTCGTAATGCAGACATTATTTGCTGAGGAGTATAAGTATCATCTGAAAGAAATTGTAGTGCGCCCCATACCATCTTGTAATCGCTCCCGGTAAACTTGGAGCCCACAAATGCCAAAAGAGGACTTACGTTTTGCCAAAATATTAGGCCCAATGCACTGTTAGCTTTTGAAAGAGTAGTAACGATTTATCTTCATCCAAAACTGTCCAGATTACTAAAACATTGTCATAAGTAACTGCACCAGTAAATGGATCGTATTTGATTTCAGGTAGACTAAAATCTCTGCGTATGATCTCGTGATCATATCCAGGACAGAATGCATTTTCTGGAGCTGCAAACATTTGGATCTCGTGGTTGAAATAAGTACCATGTGCTATGTAGACACATCCACCCAGTACTGTTACATTCCTATAGTATATGGTGACACAGAGTCACTTATCTTGTCGATAACCATATTTTCTAGATTGAATACTGTGAATATGCTCAGAAAGTGCAACAGTTGACCCCATCCATTCTTGTGTTACCCCATTCACATCTAGAGTGTTTGAGTATATTGGTACACATCTCTTTGTCTGGCATACTTGCCTAACACAAAAACTCACCGATGATTATTCCAGGTGGTTTGAATTTGAGTACGGCTCTTCTTCGTACCAGTAATTTGCTTCGGCGAGACCTGGCATTTACGAGGCCGATGTATAGTCAAGCAGAGTAGTAATGTGTTAAGCTTTCGAACTCACTAAATAGACTGAGGAGTAGCTCAATATTGCTTGACTGAGTATAGCTTGGTGGCATAGTATTGCACAAAGAATCTACACTTTGCTCATCTGTAGTTGAGTTACAGGAGCGTCCTAGCGGTAAGTAGGGAGCGAAGTGATTTGGTATAGCATCAAATTTGTTATGAGAGAAAGGAGGAAAGTATTTATTTGAGGTTTTCAGTTCGTGTGTCCTATACAAATACAAAGGGTTTGACTTAATCCAAACGGAGCCTCTGATGTCTGTATTTTTCTCACAGTGACTAGTTGGCTTGGGTTTTGTAAGTGACGGGCGTGTTGGGTGGCGATACGGTTGTTTATTGCAGGACCATGGAATCTTGCTGCTCTTCAGTGACTACTAAAGGACTTAAAATTGGTCGGTCAAGTGTCTTGGTGACTGTGGAGTCATTCTGGAAAGCTTCGAATTATTGAGTAGGTTTCACTGATTATAGATAGACCCATGCACAGTTGGAATCATAAGTTCCGATTGAATGGAGGAAATTGCCTTGCACACTATCGTCCTGCATTATTTTCTGATTTTGAGGGATATTTGGTGCGACTGCACATAACGGACGAAGACACGGTCAAGAAGTTTCCATTGTAGTATGCTCTAGTAGTAAACTCCACACACTAGGACCTAATTACAACCTATATTTTGACTATCTATTCCCTATCATGAAGCAGTGGAAAAACAGCGAGTAGTACCTCTTTCCAGAGCTGAACAAGGCTCTAGTAGCTGTCTATTTGCTGCTTTACGATAGTTCACAAGTTTTTTAGCTTAAGATATATAGAATTTCAACTACTATTCAATGTCATAAATCTGATTTCTTCTTGAAAATTTCAAACTACTCCCCTCGAATAGTTCTGCAACAGTTCACACGGAATATTTAGAGGCGATAAGGAACCATTTGAAGGAGTTTTGTCACGACCAAAATAACTATGTAGTTCGTGATGAAGATATGAATCTCATGAGTTCTTGGATCCAATTCAAAACACTAGGTTAATAAACAAAAGGTGTATATTCAAATTGTAGATGAAATCTGAGAAATTGTTCTCTGCGGCAAGATATATGTATGAAATCCCATGTTGTCTAACCGAGTGCAGACCGAATCCTATCGACCACATTTGCAATGTGGCCACCAAGCGAGGAGGCTCAGCATCGCGGTGCACATTAGTAGATGTTAGTTGGTTAGAGGCAATCGGTAGGAAGCCCTGGACCTGTTTCATGCTTGTTCGCACTCGTCATCAAGGCATATCGGCAACCTTGACGGGACTGATGTCCCGCCTGATATTCGAACCCGCGTCACCCAGTGTTGTAGTCAGCGACTGTACCACTGACTCCAACCAACTAGCACGTATGGAATCCAATCATGAAGCTTCATTTTTACGGCTACCACAGTTTCTGACCAAACCAAAGTACATTGGTGTCACCAATCAAAACAATAGTCCCAGCATAGTGATGCAAGCAAATTGAATGAAATCAAATGGATCGAATAGTTAATACTTTTGAATGCATGTTTTCCCGCGTTTTACTGAAGTGTAGCTGTGTTGTTTCTACCTGTGTATGTGTGGTCACACATGTTAGTTTGCAAACACAGTAGGATATGATTTAATCAGTTATGCAACGTTCAGGATTGTGGTGAAACATCTCTTTTATACAATAAGCTTTTCTGTATAAGGAGAAATCTGATTTAACCCAGTAAGGAATATTCTATTTTATAAGTTTCTAGCTTTCATATCAGCGGAAAATAAATGGCTAGGACTCGCAGACATCGCTACCTGACAGTGTTCATATGGTTAAAGAAGTCGAGGGGATTAGTCATGCATGATATACTTTTCAAGCATATATCAGAGAATGTTTACCTTAAGTATTTTCTCCATAATTCTACTCGCAATTAGTGTGGTATTTACTGGTCTATGGTTATTCACCTTATTCTCTGGACTAGACTTATATTCATGTTAGATGAAGGATGTCTTTTAGATGTGCAGAAATCTCTACACAGTTGGAGTTTAAAGAATTATGACGCTATCCCATCTACTTCCAAACAGATGGAAATTTTAAGTGGTCTAAGAGATAGAGTAGTTGAATTTTGAGTGAGTTGTGGGGATTTGGAAATATTTCAAGTTGCTATTCATCGTAGACTGACATCAGTTGGAGGAACGAAATAGCTGTCAAGTTTTCCCAGGTTTCCTTTGTCTCCGCAACTGATGTCAGTCTACGATGAACGACAAATTGAGATAGACTAGTGTTATCAAATTCGAACTGAATCGTGCGAATAGGTCCCAGTTTCGGGAAACAAGGACTGGTCGATTACACAGGCTGAACTGTTATTTGATGATAAATAACTAGGAGTAAATATGCTACTGAGTAACTGACGCATGTTTTATAGGTTGTTGTAAACCTTATTATCATAAGTGAGATGAATGTTATGCTTCGACCGGTTTGTCCGTTTCCCTTCGAGCTGTGTGAGTGTTTAATGGAGTGGGCATTTTTACCACAGCATAAACACCAATCAGATCCAAAAACCATTCTGACCTCCAACTAAGTTGCTACCACAGGTTGTAACTTCTCATCTGTGGTGGGTGGGTGACTACCGGATTTACACTACCCTGGATCACAGATGATAATAATCCAATCTAAACAAGACAAAACTCTGTATTTAAGAACCTGTTGATTAAAGATAAAAATAAATGGTATACTAATAGGAAAGCTAGAAGCATTTATCAGAATATAACAGTGAAGTTGTACATTGTTTAAATCGTCAATAGAATCATTTTCAAAGATGATTATCAATATGGTTCACAGGAACAGAAGACAGAGTTTATTCACCATTTTATGTTATCTAGAATTTAAGTTTTGGGATTCCACCATTTACATCACTCTCAATACCGCATTCATTCTTTCCACGAATTATCTTGAAGTAGCCATTATCCCCCCAATCACTATTCCATGAATTAGCAATTAACCAATACGGTACACCATTTTCTTCACCCCAACCAAGTAGGCGTACAGCATGTCCACCAAGTAGACCACCGCTTACATGTTGATAAACGCCTGACTTATAATTTGGAAAATCTGCATACACCTCAAAGTCGACTTCAACTGGTCCATGATCCATCACCTCCTTCATAATAGCTTCCTGGTTTGAGTGGACACGGTAAACAGCTTTGCCTAGATTATAGAGAATAAATACATAGAACAGAAGTTTTTAAAAGGACTTGACACACAGGATATTAATATAGAGGGTATGCAAGGATCACTGAAAAGTACCTAGAAAGAACAATGATTCTGAAATATCCGTTAGGTCTCGTCTCCACCTGTGACTCTGATGCTATAGATTGTTTGTGTATCGTTGGTTTAAGCATTCCACTTTCGATCAACAGATCCTAGGTTTTAACTCAGCTTCGCTTACTTTAGGCTATTTCCATCGAATAGTATTTTAAGCTTTCTCAAACAATTATAATGGTTTGTAGTGTATTGCATAAAAAACACCTACGTCTGCTTGATCATCCTATTTTCAGTAACTAAAATGTCACCAGAGAGTCAACAGTCAATGCTAAAGTCATGAAAAAGTTATTCTTATATTCTTTCCCATCTATCTACCATACTGATGTTATTGATTTGAAACCCATAAAATAACGTTATTGAAGATACGTGAACAAGCTTAAACTTCGAAATAACTCTAATTATGTAAGTTGTCTACCTGAGGAAGTTGACTTTCGATCGGTGAGTCACAGGTTCGAACCCTGCCCTACCCATCAAGGTTTGGAGAACCAAGTAGCACCAGTAGCCCTTACACAATAAGTTTAACTTACTGGGTAGTGTGCTAAGAGTTTAATTAATTGTGTGTAGTACAAAAGTAAAGAAAGATAAAGCGTCTTTTGCATTTCAGTTCATCAAGATGTATCTTACGCTAAAAATGCCTGAGTGAAATATCCCATACAAGAAAACACTAACCCAAAGGATAAGCACCACTGAAGGTTCATGTAACCACTTTGCAGTTTTGTTTATATATGAGAAACAAGATAGGACGCATCTTATTCAAACCATACCTTTCTTACTCACAGTAAATAAATAAAGTAGAATGTCCGTAATATCCTCTGGTTACTATTTTGTGGCTGGCAGTCTAACTCAGGATGCACGTTCCCTCCGATGTGGGACTCGTCAGCCGGATGTGCTTGCACTGCAATCAGTGATGTTGTCCCCACGGAGGCTCGAACGCAGTAGCCATCACCTCAAACGCCAAAGAGTTATCCACTGGGCCACGAGTGACAGCTGTTGTGCAGTGGGTATCAGTTGTTGTTAATTGATACTTGTAACTTCCTGTTGTTATACAGGGTCGAGTTTATCGACCTCTGTCGGCAGATGGGCTCCTGTGCAGATGCCTCGAGTTTCAATAGGAATAACATCACTCACTTCGAACCAGGTACATCCAGCTGACGAGTCCGAAACAGGATAAAGTGCACATCTTAGGCTCAACTTCTAGCCACCAAGAAGACTACGAAATAATGAATATCCGGGCAGTATTGAAGCATCTCCACACGAGAAGAAACAGCTGTTGACATTCGGCTGTCTCTCAGGCATCACAACATTAAATTCTTATAAAATACACAAACGATTGCGCCAAATCGTAGTTGAAGATAATTTTAAAAAGCAACCAACATTGTGGATCACATGTGAAGGTGCTCAAGTCAAAACTGCCATGTGAGACTCCACTGGATGAATGTGTTTTCCTGAAGAAATAGAAGGATTAGCAGAGAAGCGAAATACTCGGATGATTCATAAAGTCCAGATTATTATGGTAATAATTTTATTCAAGGCAGTTCTGAATAATCCAAACACATTAAGTGTTTGTAGGCGATCAGCAGAAAACTCACAAAACCGGTTTCACTATTCATGCTTGAATCTGTTGATTTTAACACTGAGTGATCGAGCTGTAAACCATGTAGGCAACGTTATCTCCTTGCAGATGCACTTTACTGACAAGTGCCAACGAGCAAAAAAATGTTACCTCAAGGGTTTCCATGATTACTAATATATAGGTGTAATACTTGAGCACTGTGGTAGAATTTAATTCCATACTGCATTTGTTTATTTGATTTATAACACACAGTGTGGTAGTTTTACACACTAGATGACGTTTTCAGCATGAATTATCATTGCTCATAATCATGTCAATGTAATCACAACACTTTCAACAGTCAGCTTTTATAGTAAATATTGACTCAGAGCTCATTCACAGAGCTAAGATATTGGTTGTTGAGATCATATAAGCGAAGAGTTGTTCCTGACCACCACAGTTTTCAAGTTTTAGGACAAAATATACAGATAAACAGAGGGAGTATCAATGCGATCACTAATATCCCTAATCGTAGCAAGTATATTCATGGATGGGGGGGGGGGGGTTACAAACGTTTAATCCTGTACCTAACATATGGTGGCGATATGTGGATGACACATTTAATGTGTTGAAATTGGAACATATTCACTTACGAGGAGGTAGAAAATGAACATGGAGAATAATCTATGCTGGATTGCAGGATAAAACGAAGGATAATTGGTGGTTTGGATACTACCGTCTACAGAGAACCGTGTGGATACTCCATGAAATTGTGTATAAACCACTTAAATTGAAAATGTTTCCTTTTCATCGCTTTCTACACATTTTGTACATTCTTCCTAATACTTGTAAAACCGAATGTTGTTTATCTGTACGCACTTTTGGTTGTGGCGGTTATTAGTGACTTTGCTACGGCTGTTAAACGTGGAAATACAGCGTGCTTCTATCCACTCCGACTTTTGTCTCTGTGGCTATTGTCTTTGGATTTTACAAGACCTCTCATCGTACTTCCAAATATTACGACAATCAAACCAACCAACGTCAACTGTGGAGAGCTAATAAGTATCGCCTTCTGAACTCCAGAGTATACTACATTGTGGTAGACAGTAGCGAAGAGATAACATTCAAGCAACCAGTTACTATACATAACATTGTCATTACTATTTTGTGTTATAACGCATAACTTTTCGTATTTCTGTGTCAGTAAATCTATTTTTCCAAACTACACATAGTTTATCATTTTGGTTTACTTAACATTTCTTTGGGTCCACTACAACCGACACATTCTAACAGGCATCTAGACTTCAGTTCATCTCATCCAATCAGTGTCAATTAAGGCAGGTTTAGTGAAATGTCTAAATGATGTAGCTAGAAAACTGACTAGTCAGTGTAAGGACCTAAACAAGGAATTGAAACAGATGAAAGTGGCACTAATAGTTCATAATTATCCTCTACACTTTATTAAGAAATTCGTATGAACACAGAAGAAATGAAATAATAACCATTAGCACGAGTATGAATAATAATGACAACAGGCATAGAAAGGAGTTCACAGCCTTCATTGTGTTACCCTATTAAGAAGGTACATTAGAAAGTTTAATTAAGATCCTCAATAAAGCTGGAATTAGGATGGCATTGAAACCTTCAAACTCATTCACAGATAAGCTTTGTCGGGTGGTTTAAAGACCTGATAGATGTAATTAAGCAAAATAATCTAATCTATCAAACTCCATGTAATGACTGTGAGGTCAAGTATATAGGTGAAATTAGCCGACCAGGGTTAATTAGAATAGCAGAACATAGGAATTTATCTAAATATAGAATGACAAATATAAGTGTAAAACTTGGGCACTGTGGTCGATTGTAACTCCATTTTAGTCTGTTTATTAGAAATATCACACAGTGAAGGAACAATAGCATTCACTGGATAACAACGTTTCCGACATAACTTACTGTCCATATTCATACTAGGCAACTCCACAACTTTGAGACAGACTTCATACATTTCTAGTTTTCTCTCCTTCTCTGTAATGATAAGGATAGTAGAATTTTCCATGTATCTGAGACGGGTACAGAATCATTTCTATTACTGCATGTATTTGGTGTTGATTCGATAAACAAAGATTCACTCGGTTATCAATCTCCCCTTTCCTCCACCCAAGTAGGTTAGTTTTCAACACTGTCACCCTATCCCACCCTAATGTGTCATTCTGTGTCATCGAATGCACAGCTATAGCCGAGTTTTTCTCTAGATTTCTTATCTTATTAGCATCTACTAATCTTGATTTAGCTAAGTTTTTGTGCTCTATTATTTTAATCGACCCTGTTCGACTGCTTTGACATATATACTTGACCTCGCAATCATTGCAAGTGACTAGGTAAACCAGATTATTTTGCTTAATTGCATCGATAGAATCTTTTAACCTATAAAACTTGTTTCTAAGTGAGTTTGTTAGTTTGAATGCCACTTTAATCCCAGCCACTGTTATTGAGAATTCTTCGTAATACTTCTGAGGTGCCTTCCTTGTATGGTAACACAGTAGAGGCTTTGAATTCTCTCTCTACCCTGTCACCATTATTACCATTAGTAGTGGGATTATTATTAATATCTGTATTACTACTACTACTACCACCACTGCTAATATTTTTCTTTCGATTTCTTATGAATTTATTTATAAATTTTGGTGGGTAATTATTGAGATGTAGCGTATTCTTGATGTGTCTAATTTCTTGTCCCAGATTTTCCGATCTACTAGTAAGCTTTTTCGCTCTATCACTTGAGCATTTAACTTGGCCTACTTTAACTGAAATGGGGTGGTGGGAGGATTCGAAGTCTAAGTAGCGATTCGAATGGGTAGGTTTCCTATACATACTAGTCACTAGATTTCCTCCCCGTGTTCCTTTAATCTTCCAATCCAACAGTGCTAGCTCACCTTCTTCACTTTGTAAGTAGTCACAGGTGAATTGGATTGCATTCACTACTGAATTTATATATGCCAAGAACCCACTGGTGTGTTCCGATTTCAGTACTGTAAACGTATCATCTACATATCGCAAGCATAGTATTGGAGTAGGACTAAGTGTTAGGGCGACAGTGTTGAAAACTAACTTACTTTGGTAGAGGAAAGGGGAGATTGATAACCGAGTGAATCTTTGTTTATCGAATCAACACCAAATACATGCAGTAATAGAAATGATTCTGTACCCGTCTCAGATACATGGAAAATTCTACTATCCTTATCATTGCAGAGGAGAGAAAACTAGAAATGTATAAAGTCTGTCTCGAAGTTGTGGAGTTACTTACCTGATATGAATATGGATAACAAATTGTATCGGAAACGTTGTTATCCAGTGAATGCTATTGTTCCTTCACTGTGTGATATTTCTAATAAACAGACTAAAATGGAATAGAATGACAAACCCGAATAAGATCAATAATCTCGAAAAGCACTCGGCTATGCATAGTATCACACAACCATGTAATAGGACGAGATTAAACCACTGAAGAGAGAAATCGATCACTGAATCTTCGTTCATCAAATTACCCAACACATGTGATAGAAATGATGCAACATCTATACCGGAGATATGGATAATTTTACTACCAATAAAAACAGAGGATATCAAGTGGGTGATAGGAATAAAAGAATCAGATATCCAAAGGAGTGTGATTACACTGACATGATTATGAGTTATAATTTGTGCTGGAAACGTCATCCAGTGAATAACACTGTGTTCTAAATCCAATAAACAAATTTAATATGGAATTTCTGTGGTTATGATTGAAAACTTTTAACACTGAACACAAACCAACCTTCAGATAGTGTCAGTTAACTGAATGGTTGCATTTCATAGTTGACGGATAGACCTGGACCATTGAATATGGTTTAAATCAGCCTTATCAGAAACACAAACAAACATGTCGGACATATCAGATCACGTTCAACAGTGAACTGACACAGAATAGACATAAATTTGGATAAGACAAAGTTATCACAGTAACCAACTTACCATACCATTTATCTTTATTGTAAGGTATATTATATCCTGGTTGACATGTTGTTTTACACTTAGGTGTTGGAACATCACCATCACATGATGGTCTTGGACCGACTGTATGATGTTCACATGGAGGGAATTCATATGGCTGACAACCATTTGTTGTATTGTACAAATCACCTGTAACTATACCATGACTTTTCCAATATGACCAAGCAGAATGTGGGAAACCACCATTACAACCCATTCCACAACTGGAACAACAAGAAACTAAATTCTCTGCACTTAAAAATGGTTTATTCTTTCCTTTCGATTCAATACAAATACGATCAGACATAGCTTCAACTGCACCGAATGCCTTAATATTAAAATATATATGAAAGTTATAAAATAACTCATTTTGAAGAATAGAAAAAGAGATAAGAATAATCGTTTTTTTAAAAGTTTACATATTTTCTGTTTAAATTCACTTTCTGAAATCGCACACCATCATCATCAATATCAGCATACGACCAGGCATTACTACGTCATAGTCCAAGTTGACATACCTTATATCACTACATCAAGTACAAAGGTAGTGAAGTGGAAGATGAAGGTAAGAAAATTCAGCCACTCGCATCGGTTCTCAGCCATGTCATCACCTAGAGTCTCCAACCACTGGTTCCTCTTGTCCCACCGACCCCAGCCACCTAGTCTGGCATCGACCCACATGGCTTAAACGAACAGTCAGAGACTTCATACATTGGTGCCATGTTTTAGTCTGGCCACCTCGGGCCTTTTTACAGCCTGAACCTACTTCGGCCAACATTGTGTGACGAGGCAATCGGTGACTAGGCATACGTAACATGCGTCCCAACCATCTTAGTCGATGAAGGTTCATAACCTCGTCGACTGACTTACCTCTTGTCCCCAAAACTCTACACCTAACTTCTGCATTACTCACATGGTGACACCACAGAATACGTCCTATACTACGAAGGCAACGGTGGTCAAACACCTGAAGCCTTTTTGTATCCTCCACTTTCAATGGCCATGTTTCACAGCCATACAGTAGAACAGAGCGGACTGCTGTGCAGTACACGCGATCCTTAATAGACAAACAGATATCACGGAGGCGCCATAGGTGGCGTAAACTGTATCCGTATCCGTGCAGAGATTTCATCGGCAACTGACCCATCAGGGCTGATCCTACTTCCCAGGCAAGTGAAGTGGTCAACACACTCAACCACCTCACTCTCTATTGTTAGCCGTAGCACCGCTGAAGACCAGTCCTGGAACAAAAATTTGCATTTGGGTGGTGAGAACCGCATCCCAAACATTTTCAAATTCCCACTCAAAGTGTTCAGAAGACTGCATCTTGTCAACGTCTGCCCTTAACAGGATTATGGAGACAGTCACTCAACGACGGTATTAGATGGAGGTCGTACTGTGTAGGGAACTGGTAGAAGTGGGCAAATCTAGGCCATTGAAATCCAACCCAGTGGCTGAATGGCAACGTCCTGGCCGCAGAACCTGACAGTCCTCGATTCGATCCCTCCGGAAGTCATGGGTGTATGCTGCTAAAGAGTCCTACAGTAGGAAGAAACAGTTGCTCAGTGCTCTCAGGTTGTCAATGGTTCTCGCACTGATGTCTGTCTGGGAGCCAACACTCCCTTCTCCATTGAGTTTCAATCGCACTCTTATTACTAAATACTGAGGCTGGTTTGAGTATATCTGAGAATCATAGATGTTTCACACTAGCTGACTAAAAAGATCTACTACAGGTAGTTAAAATGCGATAAAACGAAATAGAAGAACCAGATGATGCACTAAAGATCCAACTAACTGGAAGAATTTCAGTCCGTGAATGAAAGTGATGTCTGCATTTGAAAGACCTAATTTGGCAACTGATGAGAATAAAAAGTGAATATTTTTCCTAAACTTTGGAGATATTCAGTGACTATAAATGAAATGGTATTTTGTAAATTCCCAATGAAGTAGAAAAATAAATTTCTCACGTTTCGCAACTTCATGGAAATCGCTTCTACTTCAGAGAACAAAACCTGTACATGTTATCGAATAGTTTATATAGTGAAAGTTGAGGAAACAGATCACATTGTCTGTCTATTCATGATAATAATATGAACGTGAATGTCATCGTTATGCTGGTCAGGAAGCGCTCACGAGAATAGCAGAGGTATTTCACATTTTGGTAAATCCTAATGCACTCGGATAACAGAAAGGAAGGACTAACTATCCAACCAACCTGGACAGTATTTCGAAAAACAACACATTACACACAATGATCTGATCAAAAGTACATACAAACAAACAAACTGAAATTGTCATCCATATTATTTAGAAGTAGTATTCATCATGTACTGACATATGCTGAGGAACCATTGAGAATCTGTGAGCATTGGACAGCTGTTTCGTCCAACTAGTATGGGACTCCTCAGCAGTACGCACCCACGACTCGGCTGGGGATCGAACCCAGGACCTTCAGGTTTCACGACGAACGCGTTAACCATCCAGCCACCAGGCCAGTTCCCGGTGGTTCACAATTTCCAACTTCTGTCAATTCACGACATAGCGCGACTGTCACCCAAGGAGGAGTCCCATACTAGGACGAAACAGCTGTCCAGTGCTTCCAGATTTTCAATGGTTCCTCAACTGATATCAGTCCATGATGAATACTACTTCTAAATAATATGGATGACAATTTCAGTTTGTTTGTGTGTATGTACTTTTGATCAGATCATTGTGTGTAATGTGTTGTTTTTCGAAATACTGTCCAGGTTGGTTGGATAGTTAGTCCTTCCTTTCTGTTATCCGAGTGCATTAGGATTTACCAAAATGTGAAATGCCTCTGCTGTTCTTGTGAACGCTTCCTGACCAGCATAACGATGACATTCACGTTCATATTATTATCATGTATAGACAGACAATGTGATCTGATTCGTCACCTTTTACTATTTAGACTATTCGATAACATGTACAGGTTTTGTTCTCTGAAGTAGAAGCGATTTCCATGAAGTTGCGAAACGTGAGAAATTTATTTTTCTACTTCATTGGGATTTTACAAAATATCATTCATGATTTTCTGATAGTAACTTCGACCATCCTTGAATCAACATCCGAGTTTTAGAATAAGAAAGAATTAGAAGGTAATAAATATACTCAAAAGAGAAGGGCAATGAATTTTGTGTGATCATACAGTCCATAGAACATCCTTTTTAAAAGTGACCGATTAAGACTGGATTGTTTTAATGCCAGACAAGAAAAACCATTATCACCGGCACCGGAATATCTCAGGGCAGGGAGGAGTAGACTATTTTCATAACCGAGTATTTCTGACCCAACCTTCCCATCTGGAAGACGATATCCACCGGAAGTACATTACTGTTGACACGACTTGTCCAACCAGCATTACAAATTTACCCTCGGACACACACTAAAAGGTACCTTTTACATTATGACATTAACTATACAACAGAACCTTCTGGTATACTCGGACCTCAAGGGAACAAGCATTCCAGTCAGTATAGCTCGTTGCGTCAATGTAGTATGTAATATTACTTAAGATGGATTGTTCAGAATCAACAAGCACTAGCTTCCTAGTTATGTTTGTGAACTGAAAACAGCGAACCTGAATTTCATAATGTGGTTCTGAAGCCAAATGGTGAACATTTGTTGGTGTAACGTTCTACCTGCTTATTGTTAACCTTTACTTCGTGATAAACTCTCAACCTGGGTTTCTTGCTTGCTGGAACTCATCGCATTCTTTTTCTGTAGTCTTGAGGAGATTAATGTCTTCTCAGATATCCAAATCTGAGCAAGCTGATGCTGCAATAGGAGATGTAACCTCCTATAGGGCTCGGATCTTTGAATGGATGTGAGTTCTGTCAAGATTTCAGATGCGTCTTGTTGACAAGAGACCAAGATCCTGAGTTTCCTCCTGGTTGCTTATAACCATCCAACATCAAACAAAGTGCACCATAATGATGAATTTTCCACCTTCGAGACCAAGTTACAAAACCTAAGTAACTATTATGGCATAACGAATTTAACTACTTGCTTACCTATAAGTAGAATATTTCACAAGTAGATTTTCAGTTGTATTTCATGAAAGGCACTGTGAAATGGGTCATAGGTATGTAACCCTGACAGTGCATACGTCCTTTAAACTAATAGTTCCAGATGTCAGGTTCGCCAGTTGACGATATTTTGAAATAGGAGAACACAATCTTTGACATGTTCAACCAGACACCATCATCAATGGCTAGAACAAGCGAACTCGCCCTTATCATACAAGAAACCACCGACTGTGTCATTCACGCATCATGCACCTAATTTCGCTTGTTTCAGCAAACTAACCCTATCTGTAAAAAGCAAGAACAACAGTCGGAGTGGGGTAAAACTGATCCATTTTATTTCGGTGGTTTCTTGTCAACTGATTATAACCTAGAATATCAGGATATACAGTTTTAATGAAAATCTAGCGCACGGGAACGATTGAAGACGTCACCACTTGTTGATATACTTGTAATTCTCCGTTGTTATACTCGGCCGAATTGTTCGACATCTTTCGGCATATGGGCTCCTATGCAGACGTCTCGATATTGCCCGAATATTTATTATGATAATTTACTTGGTTGTAGCTAGCAGAGGAAGATGGGATGCACGTTTCATCCTATTTGGGACTCGTCATCAGAACGTATCTGTTCCCCCAGTGAGCAATGTTGTCCCCACTGGGATTCGAACCTCGTACCCCTCATCTCGAATGCTATAGTGTTATCCACTAGACCACCTCCTGTACAACGGGTATTAGTTATAACTATTTGTTGATATGCTTGTAATTCTCCGTTATTTAACTTGCTTGAATGGGTACTGTGTTGGAGTTTCAGTGGGAATATCACTCACTGTGGCGCAGGTACATCCAGATAACGACTCCCAAATAGAACGAAATATGCATCCTGGACTCCTCTTCTAGACACAACCAGGATTTCTACATTCTACCAGTCGAATTTGTGATCATGATTGTCCACATTCATTGAAACTAAGGAGGCTGTGTCATGACCATGAATTCTTTCGAACAATCCCACCAACATAATACTGTGAACAACTTCTGCAATTCATTATGTAGATTATATTTGTCCTGTCTTTTTTCTGCAATCGATCCTTTGGTCTACACAACACGCTGTATGTTACTCTCATTCCAAAATGATGAAGCAATCGGTTGACTCTTTCTGAAACATCTTTCATGTAAGATAAGGTGTAATACGTCTATTGATATGAAGCAGTCGACTTGTCGTCTCTCCTTCTAATAAACACTTTTTGATAAATTCCCTTGGATAGTCATTGACTTTGAACAATTTCTACAGATATTTTTCTTCTTATCTCTGTACAATAATGTTTATAGGCAACATTTCTTCTTCAACATACAATTGGACAGCATGCAATGTCAATAAAAACACTATTTGAAGATTCGTGCACTATTCCATTATGCTTCACTTCTCTCTGAAGTTGTAGGGTTGAAGATATCACTGAGCCTTGTGATGAAACGTTCACAACAGAACATCAAAGCTCAAAGAACACCAAACTGCCATCAGTTTAAGCTATGATATTATTATAGATGTCACAATCATCCAATCAGATTAATGAATATCATGATAACCTTCTTATACCACCTCATTTTAAAGCCTTCAAGACAATGTTGTCCCATATGATGACAAAAGTTTAATCATCAAAATTGACTAGCTTGAAAAAAAAGACAATCCTGTGCAAAAAGTGATCAATATAACAATCAGTTCTTATAGACTGTTTAGTAGAATGTATCACTTACCCAACAGGAACCACACGATGACTGATCGCGTATTTCAGATATTGAAGGACAAGCAGGCCACTTTATTCTTGCATCGAATTCTTTAGGTAATTCATCAAGACTGGGTGTATAAACAGAACATAAAGTAGGTAGGTGTCCACCATTTGGATCTGGGAGTGCACCTAACATTCTACGAATATCCGAAACACTTTTAAATCTTCCAGTTGGTCCTGCTTTCCAAGTTGTATTAGCCTTTTGATAAAAGAAAACATGCAAATGTGTAATTAAGCACCTGTTTCGTATCTTTAAGCAAGCTGTGTAACATCACCAAACTGCTGACTGCCTTCACTGCATCTTCAATCATAGGGACTAACATGGGCTTCTTTGTAAATACTTCTTTGCCCAGTCAGCATTTGAAGGATAAGACTATACTATTCAGTGTTGCTTTTCTAGACATATTTCTTACTGTTATATCCTTACACACAACTTCACATAAACTTTACTTTGAAGGTGGTGTTCATCACAAATTGACAACAGCTGCAGAATCATTCAAAACCTGGCAGCACTGGACAGCTGTTTCGTCCTAATATCGGTCTCCTCAGTAGTGCACACCCATGTTCGTCACAGAATCTGAAGAACCTGGGTTGAAATTATCACAATCACCTTAATGTTGTCATTATGTAGAAGACAGGTGAAAGGTAGTTTCGGTGAGAGTGTAAAGTAGGCACTTTGAGTAGGTATCCGTGGCTCACTGGTTTAAGGAGATGATTTATCGACCAGTGGGTCATGGTTTCGAGCCCCGCTCCACCTACCAAAGTTGGGGTGGCCAGGTAGTATAGCTAGCTCTCTCACAAAATAGGTATGGCTCACTGCCTACTGCACGAATGTACACAAGGTAGCTGAGTGTGTTTCGTTCGTCGTGGTAAGTAATTGTTAGGATATTAAGAGTTATTGATAACTGAGGTGAGACATTTCTGTTAGTCGGCCAGTATTTTTATATTCACACATAAACACTGACACATTCTCTTGGTGAAGATTAGTTAGTTAAGGTTTACCTACATTACCTAGTAAACACTACAACTATTACAAAATATAATATATGACCGGTGTTGTAAGAAAATGCCCAGGTGAATCGGTACAATACGTAAACTCAGCATATCAATAGTATTTTACCTACTCTATTCAAAATCCCCTTCAAATATGTATGAACACGATGATTAGGTATAACACTAAGTAAAATCTCTATTGAACAGTCAATATATGTGAATAGTTAGAAACTAATCAGGTCCACCACAGATGAGTCCTGTCACAAATTAGTGAAACAACCATTATATGATTAGACTACTGTGATCTAACTGATGAGGCCAGTCAATATGCACTGACAATTTCTTGCTACTCATGACATCCATTACCAATTTTTTTTACTAACTTATCATACTTCGTGTCAGAGATCGAATCCGTGCTTTTTTGGTTGGACTGTTCTCAGCAATAAACTCTACTGGCAATATATACAATTTTTAAGACAGTATTCATCATGGAATGGTATCAGTTGTAGAACTATTGAAAACCTACAAGGACTGGAAGACCGGGACTCCTCAGCCGCACATACCCATGACCCCACCTCACGAGTGATGGAACTGAGGACCTTCAAATTTCACAGCGCATGCGGTAACTATTCACCTACTGGGTCATAGTTTAATACGTTCGTCCACCAAGGTCTTCGGTTGCCATGTGTTTCACATCCGATTTGTTGCCCTCACAGGTCATAACTTCTCATTAGGACTTTAGGATATTCATCTAGGGGCATGTCACTAATGGACACTAAATAGAAGTTGGAAACTGTGAACCACTGAACTCCGGTCCAGTGGGTAGATGGTTAACGCATCCGTTGTGAGCTGAAACGCCTCAAGTCGATCGCTGGTGAGGGGAGGTCTTGGGTACATGCAGCTGAGAAGTCCCATACTTGAACGGAACGGCACTCCCAAGTTTCCGATGCTTCTTCATTTGATTTATATCCATGATGAATACTACTTAATTAAAGAATGCTAAATAATAGTAGCTAAGTTTTCGGTTTTTCAAGTGGACAACAGACTCAAAGAACACTGACAAATCATTTTTCAGTCTCTACTCCTCAGAACACAATTCGCTGCCGTAATGTACACTTACCATAAGTGGCAAAAATATAAATGATAATCCGTCGTATTTTGACTACCTGAGATAAGCCGTGGTTTGGTAGACTTGTATTATTGGTACTCGGTAATGATTGAAGGTGAGGTGGAAATTTGAACCGTGGCCGGATTCGAGCCAGTGACCATCGGGTTACCGACCCTGTGATCTACCAACTGAGCTACAAGGTCCGACTGTCGATCATATTTTTATTTCACTTCAATCACCATGGGTTTTGACCAACTACCATGTGAATTCATGGCGCGTTACTACCGTTTGATCGCATTCACATGGGCTGCCTAGTCAGGACTTCTCACCCCAATCGAAATCTACTTGAATTAGGGAGGGGAAGCATCATATTGATTATCATTTTGACTATCTCGGGTAGTCGTGGTTTGCCAGACTTGTATTAATACTGAGTGATGATTGAAGTGAGATAAAATTCTGGTCAGCGGTCGGACCTCGTAACTTAGTTGGTAAAGCATCTGCCCGGGAACTCGGTGGTCCCTGGTTCGAGTCCGGCCAAGGTCCAAATTTTCACTCCAACTTCAATCATCCCCCTGTATTAAAAGTATTCTTATCAACTGCATAATGTCCTTGCAATCTATAGCAATCATACAGCAACTTAAGTTTTGTAATGGGTTCACCGCTGACTCAATTCACCAGTATTCTGTCTTTCCCGTTATGCTTAAATGTGTCACTAGCATGCAGAAAGAACGATCTTATCAACCCTAACCACAGAGGGTGTATCAGTCATCTTTATACTTTCAACTGAAAAGTCACGGGACATAAATGTTAGTTTATAAAGTTGTGTAGGCAAGCTTAAACGATATACATTTATAATTATGAGTCAACTATAAAACTTTGTCATGCCACAGATTTAAAATGACCTCGAAGTGACCAATCATGGAGATGAGCTGAGGTCATGTCATAATTTATGACTTACATCAATCAACCCAACACTTGATTTCCATATTCCATAGATAACCGAATATCACTTGTTTTCTACGCATTCCTGAAACAGATTCCCCCATTTAGATATTGCCTGTAAAAGTGGCATGTGTTCGTACAGTTCATTATTCGAAATATATTATTATTATTTTTGTAGAGCCGTAACTAACAACCAGATCATCAAAGATTATACAAGAGAGATACAAACATTTATTGGTGTAATTACTTGCATCAATTTAATTCTATTACATATAGACTACTATGTAGAACCACTTGGATTTATGGAAATCTGTTAAGGATAGATAATGACTAGCAGTGGAGTCCTAGATGCGCGCTTCGTCCTATTCGGGACTCGTCAACTGGGTGTACCTGCCTTCCGGTGAGTGATCCTGTTCCCACCAAGACTCGAAGTCGGACCGATCGCCTCAAACACCAGAGCGTTATCCCCTAGGCCTCCGAATTACGATAGCCACTTCTTATGCGGCGGATATAGTTTTAATGTTGTTACTTGTATCATCCCGTAGTTGGTTGGACCGAATTCGATCAGTCCCCATTGGCTCCTGCGCAGATATATCGATGTTGCCTGTTTTTCAATTTTATATTAATGATGGGTAGTGGCTAGTACGGAAATCCAGGATGTTTCGTCCTGGTTGGGACTCGCCAGCTGGGTGCACTTACCACCCAGCGCACTAAGACCTGAACCCTGGGACTGATCGTTTCAGACGTTAAAGAGTTATCCCCTAGGCCACCAAGTTATGATAGCCAATTCCTGGTGAGAACAACATCGCTCACCGAGAAACAGGTACACCTGGCTGACGAGTCTCAAATAGGACGAAACTCACATCATGCGTCCCTCAAAGCACGCTATTCATTCTGTATTCTGAACTGTGTTTTTTTAATAATCTTTGGAACACCAATCGTCATATCAAGTGATTCGATATCGTGATGATTCATTTGTTGATTTAGTTTGTGTGCAGCTAATGAAAACCCTAGTAAGTAAAATGACTGTTTTCCTCTTGCAAACGGTGTTCTCATTGCTTCATCAAAATAGTCCAGTCACTAATACTTAAGAGTTTTAAAAATCCCCATCATGTAAATTAGAACAAGAACCTAGCTTGGTTAACTAGTACACTAGTTACTGGCCGGTCCTAAGCCCGGGTAAAGAGCGAAGGTTGGGCATACGGCTAGCAACCCTACCCCGTAAAACCAATCCAATCGCTAAAGAAACTTCAAAGCATAAAAAAATGTATAAAATAAAAATCAACTTATTCCTCGCTGGAATCAGGGAGATGAAATGACGCCGGTTGGTGGAAGCCTTCGAGAAGCCAGTTGGCCGATGTTTCATCTCTCCTTTGACGGAAGCGAAAGTGAGCATAGGGACATGGACGTCCGCACAATGTTTGACAACTACAATCAGTACTGGACAAGACACCACCTCAGTTGGCGACATCAAAGTTCTAATAGGTGGGGTGACATGAATGCCAAACTGGGAGCAGACAACACAGGAAGAGAAGCAATCATGGGTCGAGAGGTGCTCGGTGAGGTGATGAATGAGAATGGAGAATTGTTTGCAGAATTATATGCATTCAACGATTTGTTGATTGGAGGCAGTGTGTACAAACACAAGGGTATCCACAAAGCGACATGGATTTCATCAGACATCAGGACACACCACACTAAAAATCAGATCGACTTCATCTCAGTGTGAAGAAAGTGGAGATGCAGCCTACTTGACACAAGGTCAAGAAGGGGAGCAGATGTACGCTCAGACGACTCACTATCTAGTGAAAGGAACCCACCTTCAAAATCAAGTTGAAAGCCTTCAAGGAAGCTGGTGATAGACCACAGTTCAAGTACAACACCCAGAATGGAAACTGAAGGATGAAACTACAAAGGAGATCTTCACGACAGCCAGCCATCAAGACAAAATGGGAGATATCGAGGGACATCTCTGGAAAAACCTGTGTAGAAGAACACTGCAACTCTTTGAAAGCTATGTGGGACGAAACCTGCATAACCGTATTAGGAAGGAAGACAAGGAATGGAATGGATTTCGATGGACACATGGAAGCTGATTGAGGAGGAGAGGAAGATAGATGGTGAAGCAGAAGATGAACCAGTGCAAGGATGCACAC